CAATGACTGCGCGCGCCACGTGCACGACCTGGCTCCCATACACACAAACACAAGGATTTCACACAACGGGGGTTGAACGGCGTGTCTCTCACTAGCGTGAGAGGGCCGTGGAAGGTGCTGTTTCAGCCCGTTTTCAGCCCACCACTCCACACAACCCACACACACACAACGTGGCGAACTACGTGAACCGAAAGCGGGCGTCCATCAGCAACCTTCCTATCCACGACGCTTGACGTGTCGGGATAGTCTCGGAATCAGGTCACCCCTGAAACCGAAGCCGCATGGAAACCGAGTCGAGATGCACACTTCTCACTTGCGTGGAAGGTGGCAGTTGGGTGCATGCGGTGGGTGAATGTTGACGTATGGTTCGCTTTGTTTCAATCAGTTAAAATACGCTTTGACACAACTTTGAATAAGACAAAGTACACGCACGTGCACTTTTACCTGCTGACGACTATGCTCTTATTTACTAGTTTGTAACTGTTGGGATACTGCTATTTTCGTTTCCCGGATAGCCTACTTACCGTGCCCAACTAATGGCTATATCACTTACACTGGTGACCCTGTATCGTTCATAGCTCCTTCTGTTTCATTTATGTGCATAACTATCTCCATTCGTATTAATCCTCACTCTAATTTTTCATCTATCAGATTATTCATCTATCACTTATTTGCCAGTCACACTGTCTCACATTTTCACCCAATACGAACGCTAACCTTCAATCTTACTGTCAACGCGACAGTCATCCACCCCATTTATCTGACCTCCGACCGACCTCGGCTAATTATGTCCAACGATTCTACCAGCCAGCCGAAAGCCGGCATTCACACCATTGACCTGCCATCCGTGTGGCTCGGTGACATCGCGTTGTGGCTGCGCACTGTAGATTCCCGTTTCGACCTCCGTCAGATCACACGAGAGGATACGAAATTTCACTATGTTTTGGCAGCACTCCCAATGGACATCGCCACCGACCTGCGCGACATCACAGATTGCTCGCCCACATAAGCCCCTTTTACTGCCCTTAAGGAGGCTCTTATTTCCCGCATTTACCTCTCAACGCAAAAACGTCTCCAACGTTTAATTTCTGAGGAGGACCTCAGTGACAGGAAGCCTACGCAGCTTCTTAGGCGTTTGGAGCAGTTGGCAGACGGATAAAAGCTGGATGCTACCATATTCAAACAGCTTCTTCTCCAACGGTTACCTCCTTCTATGCAAGCCATCCTTGCGCCTAAAATTTCTTCTACGACTGTTCAGATGCTCGCGGAGACTCGAGTAATGCCTGCCTACTGTTACAGTTAACGTCGCTAGTCGAAGCACAACTGCTTCCACAATTGAGGATGTCGTTAAACGTCTGTCTGCCCTCACACTCGAAGTTTACCTGCTCGGGGCATTTCGTGTCTATAACCCTCGTAGTCCTGCAATTTCTCGCCGCCCGAGATCTCCCACTCCAAACAAACCTACAGTTGATGGTTTCTGTTGGTATCATCACAATTAAGGTTCTAACGCACATCGTTGCCACTCTCCGTGCAAGTATAAACCACCCGCGTCGGAAAACTCCCCTGCCAACCAGTAAGGGCGACGAACGTGGTCAGCACATCCTCTCCCAGTCGCTTACTCCACATCTATGACAGGACTTCCTGTCGCAATTTTCTCGTGGATACTGGTGCGGAGATCAGTCTAATCCCACCCACCTTGACTGACCGTAAGTCACCAAAATCTTCATTTTTCCTTTAAGCATCTAACAATACTTCATTTAACACTTTTGGTCAACGATCCCTAACACTAGATTTGGGTCTAAGATGTTCATTTCGTTGGCTATTTACTATCGCTGATGTTCATACTGCCAATCTCGGCACTGATTTTATATCCTTTTTCGGTCTCCTCGTTGACATTAAGTCCCATAAATAATTTGATCCTAAGACTTCTTTACAGTGTAATTGTTCCACTCGTACCCTTTCATCACCTAATCCACGCATTTCAACAATCCATTCGACTACTCCCTATCATCGTTTACTTTCGGAATTTCCATCTGTCACACCACCCTCACAATTTAACCAACCTATCAAGCATTCTGTTGTACATTATATTTCAACTACTAGACCACCCTTGTTTAGCCTTCCCCGTCGTTAAGCCGCCGATAATTTAGCCAATGCCAAGGCTGAATTTAGTCACATGATGGAGCTAGGCATAATTAGGCCTTCCACTAGTCCATGGGCTGCACCTATACATATGGTGTGCAAAAAGTCTCTCGTTGACTGGCGCCCATGCGGAGATTACCGACGGTTAAACACCTGTACTGTACCTGACAGGTATCCACTTCCCTATCTCCACGACTTTTCATCTAGCCTGGCTGGAGCAACAATATTTTCCAACATTGACTTTGTCAAAGCTTTGCATCAGTAAACCCGTTGCCCTAGAAGACGTTCCCAAAACGGCGATTACATCACCGTTCGGTCTGTTCGAGTTTGACAGGATGCATTTTGGGTTACGCAACTCCGCCAGACTTTTCAAGGTTTCATCAACGAAGCGCTCCGCGACTTACCTTTCGTTTTTGTCTACGACGACGATGTTCTGTTAGAAAGCGCCAGTGAACACGAGCACCTACAACATTTGCGTCTGATTTTTGAACGATTGAGCCAATTTGGCGTTTTAATTAATGTTTCTCGATGCGTTTTTGCGCACAGTCGCTGTTTTTCCTAGGACATCGCGTTGATGCTTCTGGTTGTCATCCCATAGAAGCCAAAGTTTCAGCTATTCGCGATTTCCCTACTCCCACTTCTTTTCAACAACTGCGTCGTTTTATAGGCCTTGTCAATTTCTATCGACGTTTCATCCCTCATTGTGCTCAATTAATGCTACCACTTACTAACCTTTTACGCGGGAACAACCTTGAGTTTTCCTTTCCTGACACAGCTGTAGAGGCTTTCAATCATGCGAGGAAGGCTCTTGCGGATACAACTGTCCTTGTTTACCCTCTATCTGATGCCCCACTTTCCATTGTGGCCGATGCCTCTAATTTCGCTAAAGGTGCTGCCCTTCAGCAACAGACGCCCACTGGCACCCAGCCCTTGGCTTTCTTCCCTGCCAAATTGATACCCCCACAAACTCGCTATAGCACTTTTGGTAGATAACTTCTTGCAATTTACTTAGCCATTAAGCATTTTCGCAATTATATTGAGGACCGAGATTTTTGTAGTTATACTGACAACAAGCCTCTTACGTATGCCCTCTCTACTTCTTCTAACAAGTATTCACGCCGCGAGGCCCGCCATCTCTATTTTGTTTCTCAGAATACCACCGACATTCGATTTCTTAAAGGCCTTTATAATCACTTTGCTGGCTGTCTTTCTAGGCCTGGCATTAATGCCATCTCCCGCCCTTCCATCGATTTGGAGCGCATGGGAGAACTGCAAAATCAGCCGCCTTTCAGTGAGAGCCTTCAACACACTAGTCTTCAAATCGAAGCCATTCCTATTTCCACCACCCCCGGTACAATCTTGTGTGACGTATCGCGCGGTGCCTCCCGACCCGTAGTGCCAAGCGGGATGAGACGAGATGTTTTTGCCGCGTTGCACAATCTAGCTCACCCTGGCATCCGACTACCCAGCGCCTCGTCAGCGAGCCGTTCGTTTAGCCAAGCATGAACAATGATATCCGCCAGTGGACACGTTTATGTTTGGCCTATCAGAAGGCCAAAGTTGTACGGCACAGCAAAGCCCCCATTGAGACTTTTCTCGCACCCGACGCACGTTTGCACATGTCAATATCTATCTGGTAGGTCCCTTTCCAACATCTCGTGGCAGCAAATACTTACTTACTGCGATTGACCAATTTACTCGTTGGCCCATTGCAACTCCCACACCTAACATAACTGCCGATTCCGTTGCTCATGCCTTTTTGGAACACTGGATCTCTCATTATGACGTCCTCTCAACCACCGATACAGGTCAACAATTCGAGTCTATACTTTTTAACAGCCTTACCAACCTCCTCGGATGTCCTCGCATACGCACGACAGCATACCACCCCTCATCCAACGGCTTAGTCGAGCGTTTCCACCGGCAAATCAAAGCCTCGCTCCGAGCTCATGACAACCCTTCCGATTGGAGCGAGCATCTGCCTTTGGCCATGCTCGGTATCCGTACCGCGCTCAAGTCCGACTTGGAGTGTTCTGCTGCCGAAATTGTCTGCGGTTCCACCCTACGGATTCCTGGAAATTTTTTCAGGTACTCTTAAAGGTCAGGCGACTTGGATCCCAGCGATTATTTGCAAAGATTGCGCCAAGCCATGACTCATCTTCGAGCCAATCCTTTACGTCCTTCAACAAGTAAGTCGTACGTCGACCCGAACTTACTAAAATGTTCTTTTGTATTTGTCCACGTAGATAGCGTTCGCCGGCCACTACAACAGCCCTATGACGGCCCATTTCGAGTACTATCTCGAACGGACAAGCATTTTAAAATTGACCGTGGAGGCCGCACCGACGTGGTCTCAATCTATCGCTTGAAGGCGGCTTATACCGAGCCTCTTCAAACTTCGCCAACCGAACAACCTCCACTTGGCACATGGCCACTTGCTATTTCCCAGACTCCATTAACGCCCAATAACCCTGCGTCTTTCTTTATCCTACATACTCCTCCCCTTACGCGCACCGGTCGTCATGTCCGTTTTCCCGACCGTTACCAACATGTACAATATGCATTACACTCCCACATTTTCCTTCTATTAACTAATTTTTTTGAACTCCGTTCTCCAGGAGGGGGAGTATTGAAGTGACATTTAAGTCCGCTTTGTTTTAATTAGTTGCAATACGCTTTGACATAACTTTGAATAAGATAAAGAACACGCACGTGCACTTTTACCTGCTGACGACTATGTACTTATTTATAGTTTGTAACTGTTGGGATACTGCTATTTTCGTTTCCCAGATAGCCTACTTACCGTGCCCAACTAATGGCTTTATCACTTACAGATGTGTGGTGCAACCGGCGGTTGTCTACCACAGGTCGTTGTGGATGAGCATGTGACCGAATAAGCCCATACGATGCCTGAAAGTGCGAGGGCAGTGTGGGCAGTTGAGGCGAGTTTGCTGGGTGTAGGTTGGTGCTTCAGGCACTGGTTCGTCAGTCTCTGTGCGATGAATTTGCAAGTGACCGACCAGGCCGATGTGTGAGGTGAAGGTGCGGTCGCAGTGAGGGCAGGTGTCGTCCTGATCCTCATCGATGGAGTCGGGGAAGGTGGGGGTGGCGTTGGTTGTTGTGTCGGGGTTGGTGATGTGCGAGACGGCCGCCTGAGCGGCCGCCGTTGGGGCAGTGGTGGTGGTGGAGGAGGAGGAGTAGGAGGAGGAGGAGTAGGAGGAGGAGGAGGATGGAATTGGTCGTTTAGGAGAATTGTCAGAGTTAGTTGGCAGCGGAGATGAGGAAGAAGAGGAAGAAGCGGGTGGGGCGACGATGGTTGGCGCAGTTCTAGAGGCACAGTTGATCCGAAGACGTCCAACAAGTCCGATTCGAGCCCGGAATGTCCGTTGACATCGAGGACACGTTGCAAGCGTTGCGTGCTGGGCGCAGTTGGCTTCGCGTTTCATTTTGGCGGCAGCGATGCGGTTGGCTTCGTAGATAGCAGCACCTGTTTTCACTGCCCTCCTCCAGGTCGGTCGATCTTGCGCGAGATTTTCCCGCACACACACACACACACACCGATACCTATCTGTAAGAAAATCGGTCAGCCATTTCTGTTGACTCCTATTTACGCCCATTCGACGTTGTCTAAATATAGTTTGTCTGCGTGGAAAACTACGAAATCTCTTCTGAAATCGATACACATATCTACCGAAAAACTCATCTCGATTGATTTCATTCAGTTCTCCATGAATTAAGCAAGCTTTTTCTCTAAGACACCAATAACTCCGTTTTTATTATCTTCTCCATCAGGTAGCAACAGATACCTGCGAGGCTGACTGGTTTGGAACTATTTGGAGCTGTTCGTCCACCAACTTTACATATAGGTCTTAGGAAAGGCTTCGTAGATGCCTACGTGCTGCATATGAGGCCGCAACAGTGATTCAGAGAGCTTGCTATGGCAGAGGTTCTTACTGTTGCTGCACCAATGACTGCTGGGTCCTGGAAAACGTGTTATGTACCGTACAGTTTTCAACATTATCGTAGAGTTTAATAAAATTTAAAAACATCTGCATGGTCGACGTGTTGAAAAGCAATGTTAATTATTAAAAAGGTATGAAATACACATGAAATATACTATAAGAAAGCGTTCTTAGGGCTTCTTATGATGTCAGTTAATTTTCCAGGCAGAATTTATGCCCTGTAGGATTTTCAAAGTGAAACCTTTTTAACTCAAACCTCAAGTTAAACAGTTATGTGTTTAGCCTTTTATCTGCCCTGCATTGCTATGATTCACTAAATCATCAGACCCAAGATAAGTTGAAATTCATTTGTAATTGAAATATTTGACATATTTCTGCGTTGATTTTCCATCAATTTTTATTAGCTGTCGAAAATAACACATAAATCCATTACACTCTCTCCAATTAACCATGACCGATGTTACGTTTGCTGTCGACAAAGTATATCTTTCGGCCATTGTCCGTTTGCAGAAGTTCATCGAGAAACATGAACACATTTTTACGATTCTAGATTCACTAACAGACTCAAATTCTTTCACGAACAGCTTTACGAGCCTACCACAAATTGAATCGATTATACATTTGGTTTCGTCAGAAGTCGCGGATAGATCGAGACGCACGCTCAATTTAATTATTCGTATAATACCCAACACTGTTAACCCGATACCATCAATTCAAAATTTAATACATTCTTGTGCCCTTAATATCAGAGTAGCTAACACTAAAAGACTTCACTCCAGAAGTAAAAATACACCCGTCGTAGTAACCTTCTACTCACAGACCGAAGCTGAGATTGTCCTAGAAAATCCCGAGTTAAACAGAAATCTGCGAAACCTAAACTCGTTTGTAGGTCCAGATTTGACACCTATGCAAAGACGTAAAATTAGGGAAAAAGACACCGGTTGCAAATACGATAATCAGCACTCCGGTCCCTCAACTGAACCTCTTGCCACTACTTCTACTTCTAGCACTAATAAAAAGAAATGCACAGGCCAGCGTAAACAAACAGGTAAACCCACAGCACCGCAGAAGGACCTCCAGCAAGTACTTCGGAACCTAGTTCTCATGACAAAAAACGTGCAACTGCAAAAACGGAAACAGAAACAAACGATGGAAGCACAACAAAATTACAACCATCAGCTAGAACAGAACGATGATGCAGATCCCGGACCTAGTCACGTGACACCATAAGATAACAAATTAAGCTTTACGACACCCCCCAAAACCGATCAATCAGTACTATAAAACGACTGCCAAACAAGACACATAAACCAAAAGGCCTTACTAAGCACACCAGCACAACCAAAACGCCCTAGGTATGTTGACATAACAAATAGAAGTGCGCCAAACTCTTACAAAAAACAAATAAACGTTTATTACTGCATCTCGACTCCCCAAAATCCACCTGCATGGCATAGGAATAAGCCAAACCATTCTAGCATTCCAAACCGCTTACCACCTAATTACAACCCTACAAAATACATTGGCTTTTACACCTCCCCAACTGAAACTCCATTTAGGTACAATTACCAACTGGTTAACGCACCTCCCCATATGTACCCTCAGTCCATACACACTAGCCCATGCACTCACACTCCGCCAAACGCCTCACCATATCCTCCAAGAACCACACGCCTACCTCCATTTAGTCCATCACTCACTCAAAGTACCCCCAGAAATCCTTTTTTTTCACCACAGCCCACCTCTTCCATATCCGACATCCTAAAGATAGCTCTTAAAAATTCGAGATCGATTGTCAACAAAATATCCCAACTGAGAACTTTTGTTGAAATATGTAACCCCGATGTAATTTGCATCACAGAAACATGGGCTAATGAAATTATATCGAATGCTTCGCTATATGTCCAAATTTATAATTTCTATCGTTAGGACCGTGTTAATAAACGAGGCGGAGGTTGTCTTATCTACATCAAAACTAGCATTGACCAAAGTGGTATTGATGTCCCAACCGAAACCTTTGCTGGAGAAGCGGGGTTTGCCATAATAAAATCTTATACCCAGGAAAACAGACTAGTCGGATGCCTCTACTCCCCTCCAGAATGCAGTAGTGATGACACAAGCCTCAACCTCTTAATAAGGAATAAAGCTAACATAAAAACTGAATATAAGATAATTGCAGGCGATCTAAACCACCCAGAAATTAACTGGGTCGAATTATGTGCACCTACCAGGCACGAAGAATTCTTTTCTTCAATTATCCTTTATAACTGGACGCAGCTCAATTTCAAAGATAAGTGAAGCTCTGCATTTATCTGGATATTCTTAAGTAATTAATGCCTGTTTTTTACTTGAGTCCGTTTTAAAAGTCGCCTTTCTATATAAGGTAAAATTTTTCCCAGTTTGTTTGACAGTCTGGCAAAATAGTCGTATTTTGTAAAAAATCCATTGTAGTGAATCCTTTCCCTACTACCGCTTTCTAGTTTTCGTAGTAAAAAAACAGTAATACTTGCTACACAGTGCGCGTTTTCGTTTTGATCCTTCTTCTGTAACGAAAAACTTTTTTTGTCTGTAATGCCCCGCAGAGCACGTGCTAAAAGGCGAAAGCTTGCGGCCTCCCCACCGTATCTGGGTGCTAAAATCGTGACTGAAGACATGGCAGACGCCAGCGTATGTTCTTTGCCGTCTGCAGATCTGATTAACTCACAAATCCCTTTAGTACATGTAGAACCTCTCGACCCTTCAGTCGTCCAAAAATACGCTTCTGCTAGTCGCAGCAGGCCATCAGCCGGCGAAATAATCGATCAGCTGATTTATGGAGACATAGACAGCACTTCTGAAAGAGTGCTTGAACAAGCTTTTAAACTTATTGGGGTAATACGTTCGGAAACTGAGCAACGAATTAAACGCAAGCATAATTTCTTACTGCGAAACATTCCGAGCCACTTATCTGCAATGGAGGGAGCGCATTTGTTCCTACAAAGTTGTGGTTTGAGTTTTAGTGTCGCACAAGCTAAACGACTTCGCTCGCTTAGCCGTAATGCGCCGATACTAGTTACACTTTTCTCCATGATAGAAGTCGATTTTATCTTGTCGAGTAGGGAGATGACTAGAGACTTCTGCCGTAAATGGCGCTGCTCCGTTTCGCCAGACCTCACACCCCTGCAGCGAAGACCGAATAAACTAAAATCGCCAAAAAACAACACCAAGATAATGACACCTACTGTCAGTCTGAATATGTCCTCTACAACACCACCTGCGGCATCTGCAAGTCACGGCATAGTCAATTCCGTAGGGAGTTCGATTACTTTTAATGCTAACCTCTTTAAACACGCCACCACGCCTGGTATAAACACGCCTCTATCGACTCCTTCAGCAACCCCTAGTAAGCCTAAGCATGTGCCTAAGTCAAAGGCAAATCCAATTGCTGTCTCAGCCACTCGGACACCCAATAAATTCAGCACCAGTATAAAATGTTTTCCTCCACAATCGGCGAACAGTGCCTCAAATACCCCGACTCAAAACGTAGCGGGTTCGCAACTGCCCCCCCAGCCCTCATATCAAGGCAGTTAGGCCGAATATGCCAATTTTCCCACCGTTTGATACACCACTTGTTCCAATGGAAACAATGCGTCCCCCACCCCCTAACTTGTTTCCTCCACGGCCGTTTTACCAATTTATTCCTCATGATAATGTCCATACTGAATCAGTTAATTCATCCGATCCTCAGTTTCGTCCCGGTGGGAATACGTTGCAGTATCTGCCCCGCGGATTTCCAGCTGAAAATAAGTTAGCTAACAATAGTTACCAGTTTACCTACCCGTCATTCCCTCCCCCAAGTCCTCCCATTTTTTATCCACGTCAGAATTTTTGGATGCCATAAAATTTTTTGCAGAACCGGATGGTTGCATCCGGACCGTTTGCTCCCTGGGCGACCCAGAACTGGACGATGTAGCCCACCTCCCTCAAAAACTAACAGCCTTTCCCTTCAAACTTTTTGTTTTAAATGCCAGATCCTTGCTTAATGAGATGCCTTTGCTTCAGACTCAGGTTTTCGTCCATTGTCCTGATATTGTTTTAGTAACTGAGACTTGGGCATCAGCCTCAGTAGCTGACTCCGAACTCTCTCTTCTAGGCTACAATTGCATTCGAAATGATCGCCAAGATAGCCGTGGTGGGGGCTGCTGCGTCTATGTTAAGCAAACACTTACATGTTTGCCGTTGGACCTCCCGCACTTTTCAGCAGTAGAAGGCAGCCGCTGGCTCCAGGTTGCACTAAAAAATAAGTTCTCCTTACTCGTTGGCTTTATCTATCGTCCTCCCAACGCCAATGAAAATTTTGATCGTTTACTCTCACAGGCATTTCATGCTGCGGCCGACTTAAGTTTTAAGTATCAACTGGTTGCGGGTGACTTTAATCTCCCTGAAGTCCGCTGGTCTCCGCCTTCAGGCCCCAGAAGGTTCGATGACTTTCTTGAGGCTGTGGA